TTGTGCTCCATTGGTGGAATGTTCAAGGACCCAGATGAAGCATCAGAGTAGGACTTTGTGTAGTACTCGATAAAACCCTCTGAGTCAAATCAACATGCATTCTGGTACTTGCTGAGATCAATACAAAGATGGGAAAATGTGAGGATGAGGAGAAATGTGTGACTTAAGAAAAATAAAATGAGGGGCAGCTAAGTGGCGTAGTGGATAGAGCACCAGCCCTAGATTCAGGAGGACCTGAGTTCAAATCTGTCCTCAGACACATAACACTTAGTAGCTGTGTGAGCCTGGGCAAGTCCCTTAACCCCATTACCTAGCCAAAAAAAAAAAAAAAAAAAAGAGAGAGAGAATGAAACAAGTGTTTAGTTTTTTAAACATATAGAAAAGACTTATTCATGAGATAGGTATCCCTGAGTCAAATGTCTATACACAGACTACTGACTCATCAGAACTAAAATCAGAATTTTAAATAAGAAGAAGAAGAAGAAGAAGAAGAAAATATATGGAGCACATTTAAAAGACCACTGATCCACTGAGTAAAATTAAATGCTTTTTTCCTAGGAAGATATAGAGTTCTAATCAATAATTATGGCACAGGTTCAGCAAATAACCCTCAAAAATCCTCTCATTCAATCCTTCCATCCCTACTTTCATTTTCTATCTCTCCTGCCCCTTGTGGCCAAAGTTCTTGAAAAGGCCATCTATAAACAGGTGCCTCCACTTTCTCTCCTCTCACTCATTTCTTAACCCCTTACGATCTAGCTTTCAACTTCACAATTCATGCCACCAAAACCGCTCTCTCCAAAGTCACCAGTGATCTCTTAAATGCCAAATACAATGGTTTTTTCCCAGTTTCCCTTCTTGACCTCTCTGTAGCCTTTGACAGTGCTGATCACTCTCTACTCCTGGACACTCTCTTCTCTCAAGTTTTTTGGGACACCCCTCTCTTTTGGTTTTCCTCCTACCTATCAGAATTTTCCTTTTCAGTCTCCTTTGCTGCATCTTCATTCAGGGCACTCCCACTAAGTATCCCAGAGAACAATGTCCTGGGCCCTCTTCTCTTTTCTTCTCCCTCCATATTACTTCACTTGGTGATCTCATCAGCTTCTGTGGATTTAATTACTATTTCTATGCTGATGATTCTCAAATCTATCTATCCTGCCTTAACCTCTCTGCTGACCTCCAATTCAATATCTCCAACTACTCTTCAGATATCTGGAACTGGATATCCAATAGCCATTTTAAATTCAACATGTCCAAACTAGATTCAGTATCTTTCCCCTTAAATCTCCCTGCCCCTCCCTTTTCCCTATTACTATTGAGGGTAACACCATCCTCCCAGTCCTTTAGGTTTGTAATGTGAAAGTCAAAAAAGACTCCTCACAATCTCTCACATCTCATATTCAAGCTGTAGCCGAGACCTGCTGATTTCACTTTTGCAACATCTCTTGAATATGCCATCTCTTCTCCTCTGGCCTGGCCATCACCAGTTGTCTTGACTTATGTTTTGCCACTGGACTCCAATGACTCTGGAGGAGAAAGTGAGGCTGATGACTTTGCTCTACTCTGCCTCACTTAAATCCAATTCACTCACCAGCCAAGACTTCACCCTCATGATGGCATTGGTCCCCTTTCAGAATGGAAGGATAGACAACAAATAACAAACAATTCTCTCCTCTGACACTGCGGGTGCAGGCTCTCAATACTTCCCACCAGGAATATTGTAATAGCCTGCTGGTACCTGGCTTAAGTTTTCCTCCAGTCCGGTTCATCCTCCATTTACTCACTGAAACAATTTTTCTAAAACATGGGTCTGACCACTTCATCTCCCTACTCAATAAACTCCAGTGGCTCCCTATCTCCTCCAGGATCAAACATAGAATCCTCTGCTTAATGTTCAAAGCACTTCATTACCTAACCCCTCCCCGCCTCACTTTTCCAGTCTTCTTACACCTTACACCCTGCCTCATACTCTCCAATCCAGTGACACTGACCTGGCTGTTCTTGGCCAAGATACTGGAGAGGTTTGCCATTTCCTTCTCCAGCTCTTTATACAGATGAAGAAACTGAGGCAAACAGGTTAAGTGACTTGCTCAAGATCACAGAGCTGGTAAGTGTCCAAGGCTGGATTTGAACTCATGAAGAGGAGTCTTCCTAACTCCAGGCCAGGTACTCCATTCACTTCACTATCTAGCTGCCTTTATTTAAGATGTACAAGCAAGCAAAAATTCCACATTACCTGTTGAAGTAACTTATAACCAATTTTATTTTGTTTCCTTGATAAGACTGATAAGATAAATTGTCAATCATCATTGATAAGATAAATTCAGGTATATAAATGTCATACCCTTTGAGTTTAGAAGAATTATTCCAGTCAATCAGTCATCTAGTATTAATTAAATGTTTACTATGTGCCAGCTACTGAGCTAAGCACAGAATATACAAAAAAGGGCAAAAAACAGCCCCTGTTCTCAGGGGCTGTTCCCAGTCTAATTCTGGGAAACAACATGCAAACAACTACATACAAACGAGATACATGTGTACGGTATAAATTAGAATAGTCTCAGAGGGCAGACACTGAGAATAAGGAGAACTGGAAAAGGCATCTTGCAAAAGGTAGAACTTTAGCTGAGACTTGAAGGACTCATCATTGACGAGACTTGAGTACAAACTTAAGAGTTTTGAAAAATATTCTCAACTCACTTAAATGTCACTTTGGCAGAGAAAGAATTGAAAATTTACAATAATAATAATAGCTAATATTCATATAGTGTTTATTAAGTGCCAGGCACTTTGCTAAGCTCTTTATAATTATCTCATTTGATTCTCACAACAACTCTGTGAGATAGGTGCTATTATTACCCCCATTTTACAGATGAGGAAACTGAGGCAAACAGGGTTAAGTGACTTGCTTAGGATCACACACCTAGTAAGGGTCTGAGGTCAAATTTGAACTCAGGTCTTCATGACTCAAAGGCTGGACTGCACCACCTAGCTGGAGGTGTAGGGAACAACTTATGTGGAAACTTCTATCAATACAGGCCAGCAAATGCTCTTCAACTTAGAATTTCACTGAGTCACTGAGGTTGTGAGTTAGGCAGTCACACAGTGTGTCGAAGGTGGGACGAAACTCAACTCTTTTGTACTGAAACCAACTTTCTATCCACTACACCACCACAGCCTCTCCCAATAAACAAACCAGATAAAAATAATGTGATAAGGAAACCTTGGTTCCACAATCTACATGCTAAAAAAACAAACATACCCAGCACAATTTTTACAAGACAGCATAATAAATTTGTTCGTTGGCCTTGGAATCAGAAAGCCCTGGATTCATATTTATCCAGATACTCAATCCTTCCCTGATCACCCTTCCCAGTACTGATGTCTCCCTCTTCCCTCCTTTGCCTTGTGTTTATTTTGTAAATGCAAAATAAACCCTTCCCTAGTGTGGTGAATTAAGAGAAGGCCTGGAAGTCAGGAAGACCTGGGTCTGCATACTGCCTTTGATATATACTGGTTGTGTGACCCTGGGCAAATGACTTAACCACTCAAGGTACCAGGCAGGTCTCTAAAATTAATGGGTGTAGATGTTGGCTTGTAGGAGTTTCCTTGACTTGAGTTCCCTATACCAAAGAAATCATTGGTCTGATACACAAAAATTTGTGGATCTAAGTATGTACACTTTGCATAGACTTCAATGCAATTTCCTTTGGGGCAGGGACTATCTTTTGCCTCTTTCTCCCCACCCCCTCCCCGTTTTGTATCTCCAGGACTGAGCACAGTGCCAGGAGCATAATAGCCACTGGACAAGTTGACTGAGGCTTAGTCATGGTGTGATCACCAAGTAAGTCACTTTGCTTACAGTTTCATCTTGGAAATCTGCAAAAACTACAAAAACAGGTTTGACTTTATTGTTTTGCTGATGTAATGGAGAAAATGTTAATAGTGCAGATAAAATTATAGGTCCCCATGCTTTTTTTTTTTAATTTGGAGAGCCCATTATTAAACATTTACCAACACACTACTGCAACCTTGGGTAGGTCGCCACTAGGGAGCCAGATTTGAGTCAGTAAGTCCTGAGTTCTAATGCAGCCTCGGTAGCTATGTGATCCTTGGCAAGTCACTGAGCCTCAGTTTCCTCATCTGTAAAATGGGGAAAATAATTGCACCTATGACCCAAGGTTGTTGGGGGGGCCATCAAATGAGATAATAATTGTAAAGCAGCATAGCTTTAGCCAGTGCCTGGCACCCAGTAAGTGCTAAATAGGTGTTGTTATTATTATTATTATTATTATTCTTCACTACCTCTCTGGGCCTCAGTTTCCCCCTCTGTAAACATACAGAATTTTGGCTCCATGACCTCCAAGGTCCCTTCCGATGCTAAATTTATAATCCCACCCACACGCGAAGGCCTGCGCGCTCCAGCCACGGACGCCGGTGCTGCAGACAGACCGCTCAGCGAAGCTGGACACCCGGACGCAGCCTCCACCCCGTGGCCTTGGCCTTGACCTCCCGCGTGACCTCAGCGCCTTTCCCCGGTGCCGGATTTGCTCGGCTCGGAGCATGCGCAGGGACGGCCGAGCCGGGGAGCGGGCGGAGCCGGGGCTCGGGCTGGCTTCGGGAGCCTGCGCTCCTTCTTTCGCCATGCAGCAAGGGGCCTTCCAGTAAGTGAGCAGCGCGCGCCGGGGGTGGAGGGTGGAGGCGGGGGACAGCTGGACGCAGCCGCCCCGCAGCGGGGGGTCCCCGCAGAGCGCCCCCTCCCACCTGTCCCCGCCTCGGGCTGGGGGCGTGGGAAGAAGCTTCCTCCGAAGCTGCTGCAAGAGGGCCGCGGGGCGCACCGCCCGCCTCCTTCCGCAGCCGGGTCTGGTTGGCTGGAAGAGACGCTCCTGCCTCCTTTCCTTGGGGAGGGGTGGGGGACCCTCACCTGCTTGCCTTGGGCGGCCAGGTGACAAGAATAGGCAGGTTAGAGCTCTCGCCTTCCCTGCCTCAATGGCCGCGTTTTCCTCCCGGACTCTGCTGCGTTTCCAATCTGGCAATCGATTCTTAACAGCTGCAGCTGCAGATTGGAAGCAGCCTTCATTTCTTCCCCCCGCGTCCTAGGAGATCCTTGTCAATTTGGGGGCTTTTCGGTTTTTTGCGGGGGTGGGTTTTTTGTTTGCTTGCCTTTGAAAGAATGCTTTACTTGACTTTTCCCAAAAAGGCGATATGTTTATTTCCTTCCCAGGTGATCGCTTCCTTATATCCCATGAAAGATCTTGATGCTGATATATGCAGAGGGTACATAAAAATGATGACTAATATAGTTATCCTGAGCCTCGTTCTTTTCATTTCTTTATCTTTCTGGATTGTGTCTATGACTGCAAGCACGTATTATGGTAAGTATAAAGGTGTGTTTATTCGTTCTTAACTTCTAAATTATATTAAAATGGCACCTCTGCTACCTCTCCATCTTTTCAAGTGTATGCCTTTTAACAGGTCGTTTGTTCTAAATTCCTAATTACATTATTATCAGTATAGTTAATCCAGCCGACTAACTGGAAAAATAAAGGCATATTCACTGCATTTCTTATATTGCCCATGGGTGGCTTCAAATAACCCTAAATCAAGGGTTCTGTTTTAACAGTGTGTGTCTCTGTCTGTGTCTGTGTCTGTGTGTCTGTGTGTCTGTCTGTTTGTCTGTGTGTGTGTAGTGGATTCCTTTAGCAGGCCTGTGAAGCCTCTGGACCCCATCTCAGAATAACATCTTGTTGCCTGTTCATAATCGAAGGAAATGCTAAATTTCAGTTCGAAGCTAATGAAAATAAAGAAAATAAATTTTTTTTTTCCCAGTTCAAGTTCCCCAGCCCTCTGAAATCTATCAAGCTTAAGAACCCCCTTCCTTAAACAGTCTTCAAGCTTGGATAGGGTCATTCTGGCTCCAGGAGTGCCTGCCTAAAAAATGGCAGATTTCCTAACATGACCATTAATAAATTGGAATACTTTCATAATTTTTTTTCTTGGAACAGAACCATGATTTCATTAGTATGATGAATTATCTATGAGTAAATTCCCTCTGCCAAGGCCAATCTGCACCTATTCTACCACTTAAAGTCTTGGAGAAATCTTCAAGTCCACTAACAGGTTAAGTGACTTTTCTAGGGTCACATAGCTAGTAATTTATCAGAGGTAGGACTTGAACCCAAGTCTTGCTAAACTTAAGGCTGGCTCTTTATCTATTGTACCTTGCTGCTTCTCTTGATCATCACAAGTACTTAAAAATGGAAATATTTCAAATGAAATAGTATGTCAGGTATTATAAATGAATGCACTAAAATAATAGTAGCAGCTAGTATTTATCTAGTATTTTAAGGTCAGTAAAGCACTTTACAAAAATTATATTATTTGACCTTCCCAACCACACTGGGAGGTAAGTGCTGTTTTTAATCCCCATTTTCTTGGTGAGGAAACTGAGGCATGCAGGGTTAAGTGACTTGCCCAGGATCACATAGTTAGTGTCTTAAGGCCAGATTTGTGGAAGCAGTTTGTAGCTATTCAAAAGACTGTGGCCTAACTTTCTACAAAGAAAAAGTCAAGCAGATGAAAAATGTGTAATGTTAATATTGTCAATTATGACATGCAGATAAATGGATAACCTATGGAGTTTGCCGGTCAGTATATATTTCATGGACAGACAGTAAAAATGAATAATGAGTTGGACCTACAGTTAAATAGGAGAAGAGTGTCTGGATTGCCTTCAGGAAAATGTGAGATGTTTTTAATAACTCCAGACTTCTTCCAGAAACAAAGTCCCATTTTCTTCAAAATAGAAATTTTATTTTTTTTCAGGTTTACATTCTTTCCCTCTTTGCTTCCACTGAGAAAAAAAGAAAAGAAAAACTCATTACAAATACGTATAGTCAAGCAAAACAAATTCCTGCATTGGCCATGTCGAAAAAAATATGCCTCAATCTGAACCCTGATTCTATCACCTCTTTCTCTGGAATTGGAAAATTTTCATACTAAGTTCCTGTTTGAATTAAGGTCTTCATGACTGCAGGCTCAGCACTCTGTCATGTACATAGTTGTTTGTTTGCATGTTGTCTTCTCATTACACTGAGCTTCTCAAGGGCTGGGACTGTTTTTTGCCTTCTTTGTATCCCAAGCTTTTAGCACAGTACTTGGTGCATAGTTGGCTGTTGGTAAATTTTTTTTTTTTTTCCTTTTTTGGTGAGGCAATTGGGGTTAAGGGACTTGCCTAGGGTCACACAGCTAGTGCGTATCATGTGTCTGAGGCCAGATCTGAGCTCAGGTCCTCCTGACTCTAGGTCCAGTGCTCTGTCCACTGCGCCATCTAGCTGCCCCGGTAAATGTTTTTTAACTTAACGGCTGTCCACTGTGCTACTTAGCTGCTTCTTGAAAATTAAAAGACATTTATTAAGTTTTTTACTGTGCACTAGGCATTGTGCTAAGCACTGAAGATGTAAATATGCTTCCCCCCCCAAAAAAAGAAACAATCTCTTCACTTAGGCAGCTTTCATTCTAATAGGGAAAAAGAACACATTGGGGAATGGGAGCCAGGAAAGAATTTGAATCTGGGGAGACAGGGATGATCAATTGATGGAGCAGTCAACTGAACTGATCTTTTTTTTTTTTAAATTATTTATTTTTAACCTTTTTTTAATTTTGAGTTCTGAATTCTCTCCCTTCCACCCCTCCCTCGTTAGTTGAGAAGGAAAGAAATGTGATATCAGTTATACATGTGAAATCATACAAAACATTTCCATATTAGCCATGTCGCAAAAAAAAAACCAGAAAATTAAAATGAAAAAAATATGCTTCAATCTGCATTTAGACTCCCTCAGTTCTTTCTCCAGAAGTAAATAGCTTTTTTTCATCATGATTCCTTGAGAATTGTCTTGGTTCATTATATTGCTGAGACTAGCTAACTCATTCACAGTTGATCGTCGTATAGTGTTGCTGTTACTGTGTACAATATTCTCCTGGTTCTGCTTACTTCACTTTGCATCAGTTCATGTAAGTCTTCCTAGGTTTTTCTGAAAGCATTCTGCTCATCATTTCTTATAGCACAATAGGATCCAATTGCAATCACATGCCACAACTTGTTCAGCCATTCACCAATTGATGGGCATCCCCTAATTTTTGCTACCATAAAATTCTTTGCTACCACAAAAAGAGGTGCTATAAATATTTTTGTACAAATAGGTACAGCCCTCTAAGTGGTATTGCTGGGTCAAAAGGTATGCACAGTTTTATAGCCCTTTAAACATAGTTCTGAATTCTTAGTAGTATTGATTTTCAATCAATAAGCATTTATTAAGGACCTACTATGGCTGTGGGCTAAAAGTGCTGGGGATAGAAAAAGAGGCCCTACCTTCAAGAAGCTTACAGTCTAACGGGAAAATAACATGCAAACAAATATATACAAAACAAGCTATGTACAGGAGAAATAGGAAATAATTAACAGAAGGAAGGCATTGGAATTTAAAGGTTTCCTGGGACTTAAGGTCAGTACAAGGTCAGTTTTCCAAGCGAAGGAGGGAGAGCATTGTAGGCATTGGGGACAGGCAAAGAAAATGCCCAAAGCTGAAAGATGGGAAGTGTCTTGTTCCTGGAACAAGACCAGGAGGCCAGTGTCGCTGGTCTAAGCGTACCTATTGGGCAGTGTGGTGTAAAGTCTAGGAGGCTAGGTTATGAAGGGCTCTGAACACCAAACCCAGAATTTTGTATTTGCTCTTCAGGAGGCATTAGGAAGCATGAGTGGGCTGGGTTTAGTCACTTGGTTTGGAAATAAGGCTTCTGGGCCTCAGGGCAGGAATTCCAAAAATGAGTGGATTAACTTCACAGGGGCTTGGTGCATAATATTGTTTCATTTAATATAACTTTTGAAATTCTCAGTGTGTAATCTGTTGACATTCAAAGACCAGGGAACTACAAAATAGTTTTGTGACTTTGACTTAGGGCTTTATTTTGGAATAATTTATAGCATTTTAATTCTTCACTGATTTTCACTTTTACCATAGAAGACTTTCAGAAAGAAAGAGATGGGTCTTTTTATAATTTGGGTTGGGGGTTTTTTGGGGGGGAGGGGGAGAAGTCATTTTCAAGAGAACAGTCTTACTTGGCTTTTTTTTTCCTTAAGCCTGAAGGTAATTTTACATAGTTTTTGACATTGTAAGAGCATATCTTTGATCTTTTGAGGTATAGGGATAGAAACTGGACCTTTGGTTTCATGGGTACAGGTCTCTTACAGCTAAGAAAATTTCTACTACTAATGTCGATCAACATCTCTGTAACATATACTCTTAAGGAGTTGCCTAGACTACTAAGAGGTTTATGTGACTTATCCCAGGTCACACAGCCAGTGGTTCCCAACCTGTAGGTCGAGAACCCTCAAGGTGGTGCAGAATTATTGCCAGAGGTTCTCAAATCCATAAATAAGCAAATTTATCTCCTGCAGACGGAGTATATAATGTCTTGCACATATGCTTTTAATACATGATTAAATGTTAATTATAAAGCATTACTGAATTTATATCAGCTTTTAAAAATAATTCATGAATCAATGGATACTATAGTCAACAGGCATTTATTAATGTCTCCTGTTTTCCAAGCACTGTGTTAAATGCTAAGGTGAGTAATAACAGTAATAGTAATCCCATAATTGCGGTCGTATTGGGGATCCATGAAATTATTTGACGTATAAAAGGGGTCCTTCTTACACAAAAAGAGAACCACTGCATTATGCCATTGTAACTTGTTGGTGGTCAAGCTGGGAAATTTACCAACGTGTAGACTGATATTTATGTAGCCAGGTGAGTCTTCCGCAGGTTTGCAGACCCTTTTGATTCAAAACCAGCCACAAAAGTTGGGGTTGGAGGAAAGAAGGGAACAAGCATTTATAAAGTGCCTGTTCTGCCAGGTGCTGTGCAAATGATCATCACAACGACCTTAGAAAGTAGATGCTATTATTATCCCCATTTTACCACTGAGGAAACTGAGGTAGACAGGTTAATCGGCTTGCTCGGGGTCACCCAGGTTGTGAGTGTGAGAGGCCAGATTTGAACTCAGGTCTTCCTGACTCCAGGCCCATCAGTGTATTCCACTGAGCCACCTAGCTGCTTGGGCTATTTAATGCAAACTTGGACAGGGTCCATTTGTAGGCTCATCCATCTGCAAATGTACTTGTCAGCTAACCACTAACCATGCCTTACTTTTAATGGGAGTATTACTTTTAATGAGTGTGTTGGAGATCATTTCAGAGTCTTGTCCCTTTGACCATGCTTAACAAGATCTTTGCTATTAATTGAATTTTTTCAGGTTCCTTGAACCCTATTTCTCCGTGGCGATGGCTGTTTTCTGTGATAGTTCCTGTTTTGATTGCATTTAATGGCTTAAAAAAGAAGAGTCTGGACCACAGTGGTGCCTTGGGAGGTATTTATTTTCTTGTAGCATTTAAATGAGCTGTGGAGTGAGTGTTTGGCCTTTTCATGTCTGATTTTAAACCTATCCTTCTTTCTAAACTAAATTAGTATCTCTGGTGAGCATCTTTCTAAACTAACGTATGACGTTTTAGCAAATGTACAATAGGAAAATGTCATTAGATTTTATATTCTAGTTTTTGCCTTTTAATTATGTGAAACGATGATTTTGCAAATAACTTTGCATGAAGATATAAGGATCTGTGATTTCCTCAGTGTGGGAAACTCCTTCTACCAAGGCAGACCCAACCTAACTAATACATAGCATATATCAATCCCCTAGGGTCTTGCTTGAGTCACATAGAGACTAAGTGACATGCCCAGGGTCCCAGAGATAATAAGTGTCAGAAGTAGAATTTGGACCTCTGGCTTCCTAACTTGGAGTCCACCCATCCACTCCTTCACATAAACTCTAAATTATGAACTTATGTATAATTTATTCACATAGCTATTTCCCCACAATAGAAATGGCTCACGGGACTTAATTTATGATTCAAGAATTGTATCACATTTGACTTTTGAATCAAATGATTTTTCAGTAGATGACAAGGAAAGAATGTTCAGGAATCTGATCATTTTTATCTTTTATTTGGGATAATTGCCCTTTTGCTCATAGCATTGGGAGCAGTCTTCCCAGGTTTTAGGCCCAGGGACAGTCTGAAAGTATGAAACTTGGAAATAACCATTAGAAGTGATGTGCGTAGATTTTTGAAGATGCTGAATAGGCACTGGACAACAAGAATTCTGAATGGTCTGGGCTGACTTCCTTAAATCTTAACCAAATATCGTCCTGGGGCTGTGGTCACGCACTTATCTAGTTGTTCAGAAACATGTTGAGTACAGTCATCATCAAGATATCAGTGACTGTCAATCAACAAACACCTTCTAGATGCTGGACTCTATCCTAAAGCAAAAAATGAAACAGTCCTTGCCTTCAGGGAGTTTACAGTCTATTAGAGACAGAACATAAACAGGAATATTCAGAATACTTATAAAATATAATAGACTACCTCTAGATACCTCCTCATTCCTAAGAGACCTCATTTTATTACTATTCAGGTGAAGTTATGAGGCAGACTCTTCTTCCTGGGGTATCCCTTTGATATATTACTGACAATCAACTGCTAGCTTATACTATGAACATTTAATAATTACCTCTTCTATCCTTGTGTCTAATAGTTCCATACTGATATTAAAAAAGAATGATACTTTTCCTAACAAGTTGTTTTTTTTTTAAAGAATGTATAATACTGGCTTCAAGTCTTCACACAGGTACTGTGGATATTGGTACTATGTCTTTAAGAGAGAATGGAATCTTGGAGTGACAGGTTAACTATTATTCTGTGAGGAGTCTGAGGGTTTTGGTCTGATTAAAATGATGGGTGAAAAAAACAAAGAAAAAGTAGCAGAACTTATTTCTTGAGAGAACTGGATTTAATTCCTGTCTTTCAAAGAGACCTAAAGAAAATTTTTGAGAAGACTTTGATTAGTTTTGGAAGAGAACTGTGTTTCCAAAATTGAGAAATAAGCAGTTGTAGTGATGGTTAAAGGTGACTTAACTCTGATCTTTCTCACAGCTGATATATTGTAAACAATTATTTGTCTCTTATTTATTATACTGTTATAGTATATCCAGTAACTTTGTTCATTTAAACTTGGTGATTAGAGAGCTGATATAGAGAGTGATAAACAAATGCTTATGAAGAAAAGAAGTTTCTTCAGTATAATCATAAGATTAGCTGGGATAGGGACTCAGAGGTAAGTGATTAATGAGAAAGATGTTGCCATTTTAGTAATCAGTAGAACTATTAAAGTATTCTCTTTCATTTACCTTAGAACTTGGAATGAGAAATAATAAGGGAATTGAGCTAGTTGAAGGTAGGGAGAGATGTAACAACCCAATCTAAGGTGAGTGGTTGAGGGTTGTAATCCCCGCTATATATACCGAAAAAAAATGTCATTTTAAAGAATAATTTTAAATTTAAACTACCTGATGGACCTTTCACACTGGATGTTTATAGGCACCTCAAACCCAGCATGTCCAAAGAGAACACACTGTCTTTTCTCTCAAATCCACCCTTCCAAACTTTCCTATGGCCGTTGAGGGGACTACCGTCTTTCTAGCCCAGTAGGTTCACAACCTTGGTGTTATCCCCAAGTCTTCCATTCTTGTTTACCCCAAATATGGAATCAGCTGCCAAATCTCTTCATTTATTTCTCCATAACATCCCTTCTGTTGCTCACACAGACACTGCCCTATTCTGCTCCTGATTAACTCTTTCTTGTCCAGACTGTTTCAGTACCCCAGTCTATCCTCCACCCACCTGTAAAAAGTACTGTGTCACACCCCTTACTCAATATACTCCAAATATGAACTCTTCTGTTTGGCATTTAGGGTGTTTTTTGGGTTTTTTTTCCCCCAACCTGACCCTTGCCTTCCTTTCCAGGTTTCTTACCCATGACTCCCCTCCATGCATTCTGCATTCCAGCCATAGTGACCTGTTTGTTGTTCTATACATGTGATATTCCGTCTCCCGTCTCTTATGCTGTCTCTATACATAATGTCTTTCCCAGTAGAATTTAAACTCCTCGAGAACTTACTTTTGTGTTTTGAGTGCTTAGCAAAGTGCCTGGCACATAGTAGGTGTTTTATAACATGCTTGTTAGCTAATAGATTACAACGCTATAAAAACCTTGTTGCTCCCCTCAGCTCTGTTCGGTAATACTGATATTCCTATTTTACAGATGAGGAAATTGAACGTCAGAAGTTAAGTGATTTGGTGATATAGTCATGCAGTTAGTAAGTTGCAGACCATAAATTCAGACGTAGGTCTCCTAAGTTCTAGGACACACTAGGTCTCAGCCCAGCAATGATGTTACTTCACCTGGAGACTTTTTTGAAGACTGTTTGAAGTTGTTAACTTTGAGTTCAAAGAATGGAAGTATTTCTTTCTACTGTGAGATGAATAATGGTAGCCATAACCTCTTAATTTTCTATGTGTTTCATCTGATAAAGGAGAATTAAAAAAAAGTTTTATCTAATAAAAAAGAAATTAAAAATAGTTTTGTGTAATACTTGATTAAATTCTTATTTCCATTAAAAAATTTACTAACCTATGATTTCACAGTGGGTAGGGAGCTCCTGGTGTGAGGATTCCCTTTACCAACCCAAATCTGTAACATAAGAGCATTGTCTCAAGGCACCCTAAGATTAATGACTTACTCAGGCTCACACAACCAGTAAATGTCCCTCAAGATTCCGTATCTTACTGACACAGATAGTAGGCCTTTCTATCTACTAGGCCACCTTGCTTCTCAGGGGGGAATTTGTTATGCTTTAATAAATAAATGAGTAAATAAGTAACGCACTGATAAATAATAATAGTAAATAATAAGCTTTATAGAGCTGTGAATCTAGCATGAGTAAACTGAGGCTTTTCTCCAAAATGCTAGGTAGTGCTATGGATAGAGCACTGGGCTTGGAATCAGGAAGATTCACCTTCCTGAGTTCAAGTCTAGCCTCAGGCACTTACTAGCTGTGTGACCCTGAGTAAGTCACTTCACCCTGTTTGCCTCAGTTTCCTCATCTGTAAAATGACCTGGAGAAGGAAATGGCAAACCACCCTAGTATATCTGCCAAGAAAACCCCAAATGGGGTCATGGAGAATCTGACATGACTGAAATATCCAACAGCAAGCAAAGCCTTAATAGATTAAAACGGCACCAAGACTTTTGGGGTGCCCTATATGGAGTCATAGGGGAGGTGGCATAAAGCAGGAGTTAAGAAATAAGGTTCCATGATGTTTCTTTAAATTTAAAGTAAATATAATTGAATCACCATAGCAAGAGAGGTGACAAATAATAGGAGTTATGAAATAAGGTTCCATGAGACTCTTCAAAATTTGGATCAGAACTTCCTTAGTAGTTCCAATAGAAAAAAAATGCTGGTACTTTATGTGTATTTTGTATGTATATGCTTTTCTTTTTATTACTCTGGTTTCCTTCTTTTTCCCCTTCCCCCTGATTCCAAAAAACAAAACAAAACAGTCTTATCTTAAACTCTGGGCTGCCTTAAAATCCTATATCTCAGGGGCTTCAGTAATGAGGACTTTAACTGAAACTCCCCTTTATATATTTAAACAAAACTGGAATCAGATAGTAAAACCTTTTCTATCATTTACTATGGAAATGATGAGAATGATCTTCTGAAAGTGTTTTCGTTTGGACATGACCCTGATCGCGTATACAGGTTAATTAATGGGAAAACAATTACTGATAAGCTTTATTATAATTTTTAAAAATTGTCACTTAAACCTTTCCATTTTGACCCCAACCTACTTTTTGAGCCTTCTGATACACTGCTACATTCCCTTTCATGTAGCATTCCTGCTGCTCCCCACACGTGGCCCTCCATTTCCTGCCTGGCTGACCCTGTGCCTGGTACATGCCTCTTAACTTTATTTAATTGTTCATCCTTGCTGTTTTTGTCTGCTGGATTTTTCTTTTGACTGAGAGCATGTATTCTCTCTATGTGTGTGGTCCTTTTAGTCGGTGAAACAATGTGCACGTCCAAAAGTGCTGAGGTCTTTTTAGTTATATGGAGGCTCTATGCCAGGGACTTAGTCCTGGGCAGCATGGAACTCCTGATTCTTAGTCTGTAGTCTTCATGTATAAAAAGCCACGTGTATGCTGGGGAAGCAGTTTGGTGACATGTCACCTTTCTCTCCTTGTTCACTTCTCTTGGTCCGTGGAGCTCTAGATTTCTATGGTGAGTCACTGATTGACATTGCTGGGCTCTGTTGAATGTCAGGAAAAAGTTCACTTTCTTTTTAATTTGAAGTTGTGGTTGGGTAGGGTGGAAGGGAAAACATGACATATAGCTTATAAAGGCTTGAGATTCCACAGCATTTCAGGTATCTGCAGATAGGAGGTTATAGCCTAGCTGGTAGATCC